CAATGGGTAAGGGGGCCACGTTTCATGGGAGACTGACTAAGGGCGGATGATGCAGGCCTGGAAGAATGTTGAAGGAAACTCTGGGAACTTTCAGAGAGACTGTACCATTTTGTACCTCCAGGTGATTGTTGAAGGTGAGTGGGGCCAGAGATGGGAAAGGGGCAGTGCAGGCCGGGTTAACCTTGCAGCCTCCCACCAATCAACCTTAATGTTAGGTTGCAGGGGAGCATTTGGCTATGAGTGATGAAGAACCTAGGCGTTTTCTGCCTTTTGTGATTCTGCCTTAATGGCTTGGCTGGGGGCTGTGTGAACCTCAGGCCTGATAGTCTACGTGACACCTGGCAGGTCACGTAGGCAGACCACTCCTCAGGAAGGAGGTACCTGGTGTTTGATAAGATTCATAGCCCAGTAGCTTATCAATTTGTACTTTTTGAAAGTTGCTTGTTTCAAACCCACCAATAGAAGCCTGCTAAGTCATGACTGTATAATTAATAGTCTGAAATGTATAAGAACTGGGGGGGCTTGAACTCCCTACGGTCTTCTGGCTCTTCTGGCTCGCGCTTCTTTTGTCCTCCTTGTGGATCCTTGCAGCCTTGGCTGCCCCTCCCCCGCCCAGCCATGCTGGGCTAGGGGAGGTGGCTGGGTTACCTAGGCTAACCTGAATAAAACACCTTTTCGCCTTAGCACCGACTTCAGACTTGATGATTATCTGGGGATTTCAAAAACCGGCACAACAGTGACAAGGGCTGTGGAATAAAGCTGGGAATTGCTGTGTAGCTGGATGAGGAAAGACGCCTAGCAGTAATGCTGGTATACCATGGAGCTCTGGTTTAGACACAGCTGCTCTGCTTCGGAACCAGCTCCCTGCCATCAGCCTGAGAAAGCAAGGGATGATGGCCCAAGGTCGTACATTCCTGCAGCCATATGGGAGACCCAGAAGAAGCTCCCGGCTCCTGGCTTTGGACCAGCCCCAGCTCTGGCCGTTGTGGTTATTTGCAGAGTAAACCAGCGGATGAAAGAGCCTTTCCTCTGTTTCTCCTCTCTCTGCAAGTCTGACTTTCAAATAAAAATAAATCTTTTTTTTTTTTCCTTTAATAAGTCTAGCTTTGCAGAGCAGTTTTGTAGCATAGCAGGTAAACCAGCTACAAGCCTGCGTCGCATCTGGGTGCCCGTTTGAGTCCCTGCTCCTCCACTTTCTTTTTTTAAGATTTATTTATTTATTGGAAAGTCAAACAGAGAGAAGGAGAGACAGAGAGGAAGATCTTCCGTCTGATGATTCACTCCCGAAGTGAGCGCAACGGCCGATGCCCAGGTGCAGGGTCTCAAAGCTTTGGGCCATCCTCGACTGCTTTCCCAGGCCACAAGCAGAGTCAGCTTAGACCCCTGTACCTGTGTGGGAGACCTGGATGAAGCTCCTGGTTGCTGGCTTCAGCTGCCAGGAGAGTGAGCTGGTGGCTCATACATTCTCTCTGTCTTCCTACTAAATAGCATAAATCCAAAAGACAAAGCAAAAGCTCTATTACCTCCTTAGGTCCCACCCTCCCCTGAGGGTAGCTCCAGGGAGTCTCCCCTGCACTAAGTCTTGGGGGCAACTATGAAGTTCCGAGACTGTGTCCACATCCAGAAAGCCCTCCACCCCAGCAGTTTCCCAGAAGGAGTGGAGAGGGGAAGGAGAAATGGTAGGTCCCTACCCCTATGCATAAAAAGACCAATATGGGGCCCGGCACCATGGTGCAGTGGTTAAGGTCCTTGCCTTGCACGCCTGGGATCCCACACGGTGCCTGTCCTAATCCCGGCAGCTCCGCTTCCCATCCAGCTCCCTGCCTGTGGCCCGGGAAAGCAGTTGAGGACGGCCCAAAGCTTTGGGACCCTACACCCGCGTGGGAGACCCGGAAGAGGCTCCTTGCTTCAGACCGGCATAGCATCGACCGTTGCGCTCACTTGGGGAGTGAATCATCGGATGGAAGATGTCTCTCCTCTCTGTATATCTGCCTTTCCAATGAAAATAAAATAAATCTTAAAAAAAAAAAAAAAAAAAAGACCAGTATGGACCTGGCGCTGTAGCCTAGCAGCCAAAGTCCTCACCTTGCACACACCTGGAATCCCATATGGCGCATGTTCTAATCCTGGAAGCCCCACTTCCCATCCAGCTCCCTGCCTGTGGCCTGGGAAAGCAGCCAAGGCTGGCCCAAAGCCTTGGGACCCTGTACTTGCATGGGAGACCTGGAGGAGATTCCTGGATCCTGGAAGAGCCTTCTGGCTTCGGATTGGCTCAGCTCCAGCCATTGTGGGCACTTGGGGGAGTGAATCATCGGATGGAAGATCTTCCTCTCTGTGTATCTGACTTTCTAACAAAAAATGAAATAAGGGCCTGGTAGAGTGGCCTAGTGGCTAAAGTCCTCACCTTGAACACGCCAGGATCCCATATGGGTGCTGGTTCTGATCCCGGCAGCTCCACTTCCCATTCCAGCTCCCTGCTTGTGGCCTGGGAGGGTGGTTGGGACTCTGCACCCACGTGGGAGACCTGGAGGAGATTCCTGGATCCTGGCTTCAGATCGGCATAGCACCAACCGTTGCGATCACTTGGGGAGTGAACCATCGGACAGAGAATCTTCCTCTCTCTCTCCTCTCTGTATATCTGAATTTCCAATAAAAATAATAATAAATTTTTAAAAGAGATAAATATTTATTGGAAAGTCAGATATACAGAGAGGAGGAGAGACAGAGAGGAAGATCTTCCGTCCGATGATTCACTCCCCAGGTAACCGCAACGACTGATCCAAAGCCAGGAGCCAGGAACTTCTTCCGGGTATCCCACACGGGTGTGGGGTCCCAAGGCTTTGGGCCGTCCTGGACTGCTTTCCCAGGCCACAGGCAGGGAGCTGGATGGGAAGTGGAGCTGCCAGGAATAGAACCGGCGCCCATATGGGATCCTGGGGCATGCAAGGCGAGGACTTTAACCACTAGGCCACGCCGCTGGGCCCAAAAGAAATAAATCTTTAAAATAAAAAATAAAATAAATCTATACATAACAAGAAGCCCAGTCTGGTTGGAAGCCGGGCTGCCAGTTTTTCCCTGAGATGACTCTGGTGTGTCAAGTGTTATTCTCGTTGACCTTTGCTGTCTTGTTTACCCCTCTTCTAAGAGAAGAGCTTCGTCAGCTACAACTTGGAAACCGCTCAGTCTGACTTGGAGGAACGCTGGCTGTGCTACTGCTTCGCTCCTGCTGTCTGTGGAAGGCATTGGAAACACGGCTTTTCAGCATCCTTTATCACGGGGCAAGTTGCCCTGGGTGGGGCAGCAGAGCCCGAGGATTAAGAGCGCAATTCAGACGCAGCATAGGCCTGCAAGGTGAAGCAACATGAACCCAGCCTGGGCTGCTGCTGTGCCCAGTCTCCCAGCCCAGGCGGCTCTGCTGGATCACAGCAGTTTCTGCACTGGCCACACCCACGGTTCTGCTTACCGCATTGGCACCTAGATACCAAACCCTAGCTCCGGGACCCATCTTCCGGCCTGGACTGTCACCAGGTGACATATCTCAGTGCCTTGGTGTCCACGGATATCACCCAGGGCCTGAACTGTGTCTGATTCATTCAGGAAGCTGTTTCCGCAGCTGGACACCTTCCGGCGGCTCCTGCCAGGCTTGGCTGAGAGGGTGTCTGGTCAAATCAATAGCAACCTATGACTTCTGGGCTTCCGAGCTCCCGCTCCCAATTGTCAGGAGCCCTTTGTTTTTTTCCCAGATGACTCCAGAAGGTTTATTTTGGTTTAGTTTTCACTTTGGGGCTGTTGAAGTAATTCCAGAGAAGACTTGGGCTTTCAAAGGAAAGCTCAGTACCGGGAAGTGGCTTGGACGGGAATTAGGCTAAGGTCTGGGAATCCCAGCAGGAATCTTTTGCTTCCTTCCCACCCCCACCTCCCCGCGCCCTGCATCTGTTCCTAGATTCCAGTTCTCCTGGGGACTCCCTGCAGCCCTGGCTTCACAGGTGCTTTCTGCTTTCCGTGGTAATTCATTTATTTTAAGATTTGTTTACAGAGAAGGAGGGACAGAAACATCTCCCATCTGCTGGTTCACTCCCTAAGTGGTCACAACAGCCAGAGCTGAGTTGATCAGGAGCCAGGAGTCCCCTCCAGGTCTCCCACACTGGTGCATGGTCCCAAGGCTTTGGGCCGTCCTTGACTGCTTTCCCAGGCCACAGGCAGGGAGCTGGATGGGAACAACCAGGATATGAACCAGTGCCATATGGAATCCCAGGCACATTCAAGGCAAGGATTTTTTTTAAAAAAAGATGTATTATTATTATTTTTATTGGAAAGGCAGTTGTACAGAGAGGAGGAGAGACAGAGAGGAAGATCTTCTGTCCGACGATTCACTCCCCAAGTGAGCGCAACGGCCGGTGCTGAGCTGATCTGAAGCCAGGAGGCCAGATCCTCTTCTGGGTCTCCCCTGCGGGTGCAGGGTCCCTAGGCTTTGGGCCGTCCTTGACTGCTTTCCCAGGCTACAAGCAGGGAGCTGGAATGGGCAGTGGAGTTGCTGGGATTAGAACATGCGCCCGTATGGGATCCCGGGTACTTTCAAGACGAGGACTTTTAGCTATTAGGCTTCTGCGCCGGGCCCAGTTTATGGTGGGCACTCAAGATTTTTTTAATTGTGCTACAAGTCTCTTCTCCCTCCCTCCCCGTTTCTAATAGGAACGCAAAACAGCGTGGGAATCCCCCGTGGGTGGGTATGCAACGGGTGCCGCTTTAAGAGAAAGGGACGGAGGAAGAGGGCGCTGACTCAGATCATCCTACCATTGGCTGTTGTGGGGGATCCCACCTCGGGGATTGGCCTGGTTGGAGTCCGCCTACTCTTGCGATTGGCTCCACGGGACCCATTTAAGAGGCCGTGCCCGCCTGCTGCTCAGTCGGAGGAGGGAGGCAGGGACCGCGGTGGAGCTCGCGTCAGGTGCACCTGCCGGCAGCTCGCTCTCCCACCCGCTCTCGCTCCGGGTCCGCGGCGGCTGCGACCATGAAGGAGAGACGGGCTCCGCAGCCAGTGGTGGTCAGGTGTAAACTCGTTCTGGTGGGAGACGTGCAGTGCGGGAAGACGGCGATGTTGCAGGTGCTGGCGAAGGACTGCTATCCGGAGGTGAGCGCCGCCCCGCGCAGACCCCACCTGGCCGGGAGAGCGGGCCCGCCGCGCCTCCCTCGCCCTGCCTTCCGGCTGGAGGGCCTGCCTGCCTGAGCTTCCCCCGAGACCTGTCCCACTTCTGTGCCCCGCTGGCTCCTCCTCACCCACAGGCCCGATCAGCCCCCTCCCGCCTGCCGCGATGCCGGGAGAGCGCCCTGGACGCGCCCCAGGGTTGCTGGTCCTCCTGGCTCACAGGTTCCCAGAGGACAGGTTTTGCTGCTCCTTTCGGCGGCCCCCCTGGGCCAGGGGCTTGTACGGGATTAGACAAGAGCAGGATTGGCTGAAATTGGGAGTGTGTGCGCGTCCCTGACCATCCGGGCTCCAGGCTGCTCGCCGGCCAGGGAAGGGGGGTGGTCTTCCCCCATGTCTCCTTCCACCAGCCAAGAGCTTCGGTGTCTCCCGCCCCCCTGTGGTCCTACGGTCTCTCCTGCACCAGGTGCCCCTTCTTCTGGCTCATTTCCTGTCACCTGAGCGGCTTCTGCTATGGCCAGCACTAGCTAGGGGTCCAGGGCCCAGGGGTCACTGGTCCCTCTCTCCTCACAGACCTATGTGCCCACCGTGTTTGAGAACTACACGGCCTGTCTGGAGACAGAGGAGCAGCGAGTGGAGCTCAGTCTCTGGGATACTTCGGGTAAGACTGTGCCCCCTCCTCCCCAGTGCCCCTTTCCTACCTGCATTGGCTGCTGCCCGCTCAGGTCAGGGGTGGGGGTGGGCAGGAAGATGGTGCCTGCCAGGACAGGCAGAGAGCAGAGATCTGTGGGGAGGGGGCAGTGGATGGACCCCACAAGCACTCACTCTGGCTCCATTAGGGGTTGGGATGGTGAGAAGGGACCCTGCAGTATTCCTGGGGGTGGGGGTGGTGGTCAGGGACGGCTTCTCTCTTTCACTTCCTGCCTCCCCTCACCCACCCCCGCCACAGCATAGCCAGAAAGGAGGCGGTTGGGTTGGACAGGGAGAAGCCCCGCTAGGTCCGCACTCCCCTGCCCGCCCGCCTGCCGCAGCCCCGCGTTCACCAGGCTGCTGCGGCTCCGGAATGAAGCCATGCATCACCGATGTTTGGGGGTGGGGGTGGAGACTCGGTCCGGTGTCGTGGTGGCCTGTGCGATGGATGGGGTGGCTGGGGGTTGGCACTGAACCAACCGTCCCCTGGATGGCGTGGGGCAGAAGGCACTCTGTCATGCCTCCCGCAGGGAGCGGTGTTTCCCCAGCCCCTTGGGCCCCCTGAGCCCACCATGCCTGGGTAGGCTTTGCTTTGATCCTGAGCGCTTCCCACCATGTCTCTATCCTGATTTCTTTCTAATAGCCTGACTTAGAGTCACAATGAGGGAATAAACGCAAAAAAAAAAAAATAGGAAAAATAGAAAAAAATGCATACAGGGGCTGAGTTTCAAGAGGACCTACAAAATCAGGAGAGGTTTGTGCACCGTCCAGCTCTTGCGAAAGACCCCTGCTCCTCTTCCCCAGTGCTGTGAGGTGTGAGGAAGCCTGGGGTGGGGAATGGGAAGGTAGAGAATGAGACTTCCCCTTGCTCTGTGCTGTCCCCCCACCCCACCCAAATCCTGCATGCCGCGTGGCGGTTCCAGGGTGGGGAGGCGGGGTCCGCTTAGCCTGGACCCTGCTGCACTGGCTGGATGGGGCTGGAGCGCAGCTGCCTGATGTATGGCTCTCCTTCAGCTGCAACCTCCCACCACCCAGTCTTCCCAGCATCTTGCTGCAGCTCATCGCCTTTCACGACCACCACCCCAAACTCCCACTGCTTCCCCCTCCTCCCACCTGAATCCTGGTCCAGAGACTGAAAAGTCATCAAGTGTGATGGCTCCTCCCTCTGTCCACCCCAGCCCCGTCCCCGACGCCCACCCTGCTCCTGGTTTGCAAGGGATGGAAGGCTCTCAGATTCTCTTTCTTTCAAATTGGGGTCCCATATGGAAGGAGGAAGTGGCCAGTGCTTCCCCCCCCTCCCCAGCACCGGGGCTGGCTACCCTACCCCATGAATTATTCCCTGGCTGCTGTCAGGGCAGGGGGATCACTTGGAGACACAGCCAGAGCGCCCCCCAGCCCCCAGCCCCCAGCCCTGGGGCTGCAGTGTTCTCTGCCTTGCTGGGTGCTGCCCCTCTCTGAGACCGAGCTGGGCTGATTGCTTGAAGGAGCAGACAGCTATTCCAACTCCCCCTTCTTCTTTTTTTTTAATGACCAACGCCCCCCCAAGCTTGGATTCCCCCCAGTTTCCATGGCAATTGCAGAGTAGGGAGAGGGGCTGCTTGCTATTCTGAGCACGGATTGTCTGGGTTCCAAATCTGCCACCGTTCCTTCCCCGGGGTGGAGGGGGCAGGCTCAAACCAAAATGCCCCCTTCCATCAGCCTACCTGGATCTGGCCTGCTGTCCTCCTTGCTCAAGCAGGGCCCCAGCTCTCTCTAAATCCCCAGCAGTTGCCACCCTGGTACCTGAGCAGGTAGGGGCTAGAGCCCGCCTCCGGTTCATTTCAGGCTAAGCAGATTTAGGTGAGCAGAGAGTATGGGCCTGCCGGGCCGTGCGCTGGAGTTCTTGACCTCGTGGTAAATAAGCAGGGCCGCCCGTTATGTAATAGGCAGCTTTGTTTCTTCCTTGGAGCCCCCGGGGGCAGAAGAAGGGCACAGAGGTTGGGCAGCAGGTGAACTATAGGCAAGAACAAGCTTCAGTGAGCCCCAGCCTCCCGGTAGGGATGGGAGCATCTTCTGAGATGCAGAAAACAAGTGGTCCTTAAGCTGAGCGCACTGCTGGAGACACAGCCAACATCATATAACACCCTGCCCTTCTTGTTCCTGCCCTCTCCTTTTCAGAGCTGATCACCTCTCGCTGCCTTTTGTCAGGTGGTCAGCTCCCAGGTTTTCGGGCTATGGGCGTGCTTCCCAGGAAGACGGGTGGGTCCTAAGGGATCAAGAGTGCCATTCCTGGGGTGCTTTGGACTTGGGCCTGCAGAGGAAGGAAGATGGAGTGACTCACTGTGGGCTTTTCCTCCTCTGCCACCAGGCTCTCCCTACTATGACAATGTCCGTCCACTCTGCTACAGCGACTCGGACGCGGTATTACTATGCTTTGATATCAGCCGTCCAGAGACAGTGGACAGCGCGCTCAAGAAGGTGAGCATGAGGACAGGGAGGAATCTTGGGGAGCCTGTCTTCTAACTCCCTCTTGTGTACCGGCAGGAAACTGAAGCCGGGGATAAAAGAGATTCGTATGAGGCCTGACTATTAGCTAAAGCCCAGGACAGGAGCCCAGAGTGTCGCCCCTCCACAACTGGCCCTTTGGACCGTCCTCTACTATTTTACCGGGGGACCCACCAGAGAAGGGGGATGTTGAAGACTTAGAACACGAAATTTTGGGAACCAGAACCTTCTAGTAGCTTGGTTTGAGGCTCAGGGAGGGACCTCCAGGAGACAGTCCCTACAGACTTTAGTACCTGGCAAGCCACATGGATTGGAACTGAAGTGCTGGTAGGAAGTGTCTGGGCCTGGGTGGCCAGATCTGCCTATGCTGAGCAGTACTAGTGAGCCTTGAGGGACAGCCTAGCTTCCTAGAAGTTGCTGGAAATATGTCCTTGCCCTGGAAAGAGACTGGGCAGCTTCCCCAGTACCCTGGAAGCAAGAACGGCAGATCTGCATCAAACACCTTGGCACTGAGTGTGAAAAGAATCCCCGTTTCCCACCACTCTGTGACCAGGCGCTTGACAGAAAGGGGACAGGCTCCCAGGTCAGCACTCTGGTGGCCCCAGGGACTCCCAAGCAAGCAGGAAACTGGTGCAATGAACTTGCTCCGTGGGGATGCTGTCACAGAGGGAGGACTGGGCTGGGCACAGGTGTGCGGTGTTACCCATTGCGCTTCTTGAGCCACTGACTTTCCTCCCTTCCGTCTTCCCCTTCCCTTCTCCCTGCTGGGCCCCAGTGGAGGGCAGAAATCCTAGATTATTGTCCCAGCACACGTGTGTTGCTCATCGGCTGCAAGACTGACCTGCGGACAGACCTGAGCACCCTGATGGAGCTGTCTCACCAGAAGCAGGCCCCCATCTCCTATGAACAGGTGCGTGGTGGGTGAGGCAGAGGGCTCGAAATAACCATCTTTGCTCAAACTCTCCTACTGTTGTAGGAGACAGGTGGAGTTAGGGACTATAGCAAACCTGGGACAGGTGTTGCTGCTTGGGGTGCCTATCTCCTATCTTGGAGCTCCTGGGTCAAGTTCAGGAGCAGCTGATGGTCACTCATGGGAGGAACTCTGAGTTCTGGGCTCCTGGCTCAGCCCAGGAGTGAACTAGCAGATAGAAGATCTCTGCTTGTTTCAAATAAATAAAAGTAGATTAATCACAATATAACATCATCACTTGGAGAGAGATACTTGATGACTTGGGTGGGTGTGTGCTGTGAATCAGCAGGTGAGCCAGTCCAGCGTGTCTCAGCATTTCCGGGTTGCTCTGCACTGGAACCATTGGATGGAGCGGGGAGGGGTTCTTAGAATTTCAAGTTCCTGGCACTATATTTGGGGAGAACAGATACTCTGTATCTTTTTATTTTTCAATTATTATTATCAGAAAAAGAGACCACTCCCTTCTGCTGGTTCACTTCCCAAATGCCCAGAAGTGCCTGGTCTGCAGCTGGGAGCTCAGTCTTGGTCAGAAACTCAGCTGTTTGAACCTCTACCTGCTATTCCCCTCGTGTGCATTAGCAAGAAGCTGGAATTGGTAGTGAAGCTAAGACTGCAACCTATGCACTGGAAGGTGGGCATCTTAACTGGCATCTTAACCCCTGAGCCAAATGCCCACCTCATGGGAGTCAGTGTTTGTAAGGAGAGTCCTGGGTAATTTTTCAGATATGTGCAAGTGTAAGTATCATTATATGTATGTATATATTATATGTATATATACACATATATATGGATTTATTTATTTGAACACCAGAGTTACAGAGAGAAGAAAAACTAGAGAGGAAGAGATATCTTCCATCCGTTGGTTTACTTCCAAGATGGCCACCACGGCCGAGGCTGCATCAGGCTGAAGATGGGACACAGGAGCCTCATCTTGGCCTCCTGCATGCATGGCAGGTGCCTGACCACCTGGGCCATTCTCTGCTGCTTTTCCCAGGCCATTAACAGTGAGCTGGATCAGAAGTGGAGCAGCCAGGACATGAACCAGTGCCCAAATGGGATGCTGTTTTAAGCCACAATTCATTAGAATCCTCTGGGGAGCTTATTATAAATGTTAAAGTTTGGGGTGATGGTTAAATTGTTGCCTAGAACACTGCCATTCTATAGTGCAATACATGCTTTAAGTCCTAGCTATTCTGCTGCGCTTTTTAAAAAAGATTTATGTATTTATTTATTTAAAAGGCAGAGTTGCATATGTAGCCGGGGAAGGGAAGATAGATTGATATTCTATCCACTAATTTGCTCCCCCAAAAAGCTGCAACAACCAAGATTGGGCCAGACTGAAGCCAGAACCCAGGAACTTCCTCCCGTCTCTCACATGGGTGCAGCTGTCCAAGCACTTACACCACCACTGCTGTTTGGCCAAGCCATTAGCAGGGAGCTGGATAAGGAGTAGAGCCTCTTGGACACAAGCCAACACCCGTGTGAGATGCTGGAGTCTCAGGCAGGTGTTTAGCCCACTATGCCATGATACCAGGCTGTTTCGCTTCTGATCCAGCTGCCCCGAGCCAGCAGGTGATGGCTCGGTGTGCAGCCTGTTCTACTCCTGCGGGACACCTGCATAAGTTCCTGCCTCCTTTGTTTCAGCGTGGGCCAACCTTGGCTGTCGATATTTGGTGAGTGACTTAGCAATTGGAAGATTTCTGTCTCTCTTCCTCTTTGTCTTTCAAAGAAATAAAAATAAGTAATTTAACAAAAAAAAAAGATTTTGGGGTCAACACAGTGGCGTGGTAAGCTAAAGCTTCCGCTTACAGCACCAACGACTGGAAATGGTGCCTGTTTGAGTCCCATCTAGCTCCCTGCTTATGGCTGGGAAAACAGCAGAGGTTGATACAAGTCTTTTGGACCCTGCACCCGCATGGGAGACCTGGAAGCTTCAGACCTGCCTAGCTTCACTGTTGCAGCCATTTGGGAAGTAAATCAGTGGATGAAAGACCTCTGTCTCTCCTTCCCTCAATAACTCTGCTTTCCAAATAAAAGCAAAATGAGAGGGAGAGACACAGCTCTTCCATGCTCTGCTTCACTCCCCAAATGGCTGCAACAGCCAGGACTGGGTCAGAGCAGAGCCAGGAGCCAGGAGTTTCATCTGGGTTTCCCGTGGGCTTGGAAGGACCCAGCTACTTGACATCGGCTGCTTTCCCAAGTGCATTTAGCAGGGAGCTGGATCGGAAGTGGAGCAGCTAGGACCCAAACTGGCACCTGCATGGGATGCTGGCAGTGCAGGCGGCAATCTAACCATGAAGCTACACTGCCGGCCCTAAATAAATAATCTCAAACATTCTGATACCTAAGCTGTAGCCCCCAGAAATTCTGCTTTACTTGTGCCAGCAAGTAAAACAAAAATGTGATTTTAAAATGGTCTCAGGAGCTTCTTTTGTGCATTTAGAGCTCGTCTTCAGGAAATTGTTGAGGCTGGGGTGGGAAAGCAGCAGTGGGACTGGGTCCCCCAGGCATCCTGGGAGAGTAGGAGTGGCTTGTGGAAGGAGGCAGGGCAGAGCCCCGGGGACCCCCTGCTTAATTAATGACCAACCACACTCCTTCCTGCAGGGCTGTGCAATAGCCAAGCAGCTGGGAGCAGAAATCTACCTGGAAGGCTCCGCTTTCACCTCGGAAAAGAGCATCCACAGCATCTTCCGCATGGCCTCCGTGGTGTGTCTGAACAAGCCCAGCCCCGCGCCCCCGCGGAGCCCCGTCCGAAGCCTCTCCAAACGGCTGCTCCACCTGCCCAGCCGCTCTGAACTCATCTCCTCCGCCTTCAAGAAGGAAAAGACCAAGAGCTGTTCCATCATGTGAAGTGGGAACAGGGGCGGGGAGCCCCCACTTCCTCCCTTGGGGTGCAGAGGCACGGGGAGAGGGAGGGTGAGACACTTGAGGACACTGGATGTGAGATGATCAGATGGCCATGGTGAGGGCTTGGAAGGCGACAGGAATGGGACAAGGAGTGACACTGAGAAAGAACCATCATACCCAAGCCAGGTACTAAATTGTGGCGAGGCCTTCTGTCCCAGGGCCCCCCACCCCTGCTTCAGAGGAAGGAAAGGTGTGTGGAGGTATGGGGTGGGGCATGCTGGGCTCAGGGGACCCCGGGAGCCCCAGGAGCTTCTTCCACACAGCTCTTCCATGCAGGCAGGGGACAGGACGGGTGCCCAGCCCTTCCGGTCCCCTCTGAGCAGGAGGCCCAGGAGTGGAGAGTGAGGACGCCGGCTGGCAGCTCCCTTGGGAGCACAGCCCAGGTGCTTCAGAAGCAGGCGGCAGGAGCTGGTCAGAGCCGAGGAGAAGGGCACATCACCTTTGCATAGCCCATGGCTCACGGGGAGGTGACAACATATAATCACACACTTCTCACCCAAGTCCCCCAGATCCCCTTCTCTCGTGGAGTGTGGGGGTGGTGGTGCTGCAGGGGCAGGGCTGGGTGGGGTCACCAGACCTCTGCCCTTTTGGGGCAGTATGATTGGCATTTGTTTTATAGACTCTTGTCTTTGGGGGGGGCGGGGGGGTGTTTCCACCTGTTGAATGTTCTGTGTTTAAAGAAGAAAAAAACTATTTATTAATGAAGAATATAAGACGTATAAACAAGGGGCCGCGTTTGTTCTTTTGCTGTTGTCTTTGGTCGTGACAGTGAAGGGAAAAGCTGTCCCAGATCCCATTTTGTGGGCAGCACAGTGGCTGCCACAGATTACCCCCCCGTCCCGCAACACCTCTGTCTGCTCCAGTGCCAGCCCCGCCCAAGTCTGGCAAGGCCAGAGAAGAGCTCTCAGCCCTGGGGAGGAGCGGGGGGGCGGGGGCTCTGCATCCTTGCTAATGTGGATGCTCTTGGGGGGCAGTCGCACGCAGGGTGGCATTGGGTGAGTGCTGGATACCAGCAGCCCTCACCAACCCCATGCCAAGACGTCAGGTTCCCTGGAACAAAACCATTGCCCACTGGAAGCCCTGGACTTGGAGAACATAGCAGACTTAGAGCCCAGCTGGAGGAGATCTAGGCTCCGTCTCCACTGCCTGATTGAAGAGGCAGAGACCGAGCCACAATGGTGTGGGGTGCAGGGGGGTCCTGGGGCTGCTGCCTTGGTGCCAATCTCAGTGCCTGGTGATGACAGTTTGGGGCCTTGGCTAGCCTTTCTGATTTACAGCTCTTGGTTTCAGAATGTCATAGTACAGTACCAGAGAGAAAAGGTTCCTTTGAAAATTGATTTATTTGAAAACTAGAGTGATAGTGAGAGAGAGGTATCTTCTATCCACGGGTTCATTTTCCTAAATGCATAGCCTGGTTGGGTCATCTGGAACTATGCCTGGCTTTCCACGTGAGCGACCAGGGTTCGAGTGGTTGGCCAGCATCCGCTACTTTTCCAGGTTCATTAGCAAGAAGCTGAGCAAATATTTTAAGAATACTTACGGTGTGCCCCAACCATTAGTAAATTATTATTTTTTATAAAGACTTATGGGTCTGGCGCTGTAACCTAGTGGCTAAAGTCCTCACCTTGCACACGCTGGGATCCCAGATGGGCATCAGTTTGTGTCCCAGTGGCCCCACCTCCCATCCAGCTCCCTGCTTGTGGCCTGGGAAAGCCTTGGGACCTTGCACCCACATGGGAGACCCAGAGGAGGCTCCAGGATCCTGGCTTCGGATTGGTGCAGCTTCGGCTGTTGCGCTCACTTGGGGAGTGAATCATCGGATGGAAGATCTTCCTCTCTGTCTCTCCTCCTCTCTGCATATCTGACTTTCCAATAAAAAATAAATAACTCTTTTAAAGACTTACTTGAAAAGTTACAGAGGGGAAGAAGCAGAGACAGAGGTCTTTCATCCATTCCTTTCACTCCCCAAATGGCTGCAGCAGCTGGGGCTGAGCCAGTGCAAAGTCGGGAGCTTCTGGGTCTCTGTGTGGGTACAGGGGCCCAAGCACTTGGTCCAACTGTTTTTCCCGGGAACACTGGCAGACAGCAGGAATGGAAGTGGAACAGCTGGAAATAGGATGCTGCTGCTGTAGGCAGTGACTTGATCCGCTACACCACAGTCCTGGCTCCACTGGCAAATTACTTGTTTCTTCCTGTGCTAGTCCTTTGGGGTAATACCGATTCTACTTTACAGAGTCAAGGATACATGACAGAATGGCAGAATATGTGCATGGTTCTGCTCTCCTGTGAGATTAGTGGAAGCATTTATTGCGTCTTTTTTTTTCTAGAGATTTATTTATTTTTCTTGGAAAGGAAGATCAGATTTTACGGAGAGAAGGGGAGACAGAAAGATCTTCCATCTGCTGATTTACTCCCAAAAGGGCCACAACAGCCAGAGCTGAGCCAATCCAAAGCCAAGAGGCAGGAGCTTCCTCTGGATCTCCCACACGGGTGCAGGGCCCCAAGGCTTTGGTCCATCTTCGACTGCTTTCCCAGGCCACAAGCAGGGAGCTGGATGGGAAGCGGAGCTGCCGGGATTAGAACTCGGGCACCCCTATGGGATTCCAGGTGTGTGCAAGGCGAGGCTTTAGTCACTGAGCTGTTGCGCTGGGCCTAGCGTTGCCTTCATTTTATGAGGAAAGAGAAGACATAAATTCTGTATAACTTGCATAAAATCATACTGCTAGTCAGGAGCCGAGTCAGGATTCAGCCCAGTTCTCCCTGTTAACCATGTACTCCAGTGGACCTCTTCCTGCTAGCTGTAGTAACAGGGACTCTACTGTGGTCCTTCCTGGAACACACTGTCCATCTCCAAAGAAGTGTGTTCGTGGCAGAAGCAGCAGAGTGAGCGGAGTATCTTTTTTTTAAGATTTATTTTTGTGAGCCTGATGCAATGATTTAATGGCAGGCCTGGTGGGGGTTATTGTAGGTTGCTCCGACTAGGCTGCAGCTCCCACTGGTTTATGCAAGGGCCGAGTATGTGCTGGACAGAACCAGGCTGGACTGCAACACCCATTGGTTCTAGTAGAAGTCAGGTCTGGAAGCAGGACCAACCCAACAATTGCAACTACCAGCTGATGGGGTGATGGACTGTGCCGGGCCCTGTACTTGCTAGTACGTACAAGAATCTGGTCTGGGAACACCCAAAGTTTCTTTGGGGATCTCCCCAATTGAAATGCTGGACTCAGAACCCTAACCATGAAAAAACACAGGACAGAACAAGTCAATCAACCACCTCAGCTATATGTTGGTGATGAAGGCCTGGGCAAATGGAGACTCTATGATGGACTATGTCAATCAGTGGATTATGCAGCGACCTTATTGTGCTTGGAGTGGCGAAATTAGCAGCAATTTATAACTGTTGAACTATCAAAACCAGCTGAGCAAGACCCTCGGAGCATGCCCCACACCGGGGGCCTGGGGCAGGTGGGAGACTGGGTGGGCTTCTCCCTTAGGATCCCCTTTGCCTCAGATACATGAAGGAAACAATATGGAACTAGTGGTCTTGCCCATTTTCCTGTGGCCCTTGAACCTTTTTACCCTAGTTGGCTGGGTGAGGATTGTCAAAAATATAGTGAAAAAAATGGAAAAACAAAATAAATGTGCAATCTCAACAATTAAAATATTTTTTTTATTTTTGTGGGCCTGACACAATGATTTAATGGCTAAATCCTCACCTTGCAAGCACCAGGATCCCATATGGGTGCACCTGTGTGGGAGACCTGGAAGAAGCTCCTGGCTCCTGGCTTCAGATCAGCTCAGTTCTGGCCGTTGTGGCCATTTCAGGAGTGACCTAGTGGATGGAAGATCTTTCTGTCTCTCCTTCTCTCTGTAGATCTGCTTTTTCAATAAAAATAAATAAATTTTCTTTTAAATAGGTATTTTACATATTTGAAAGGCAGAGTAACAGAGAAGAAGAGACCTAGCAAGAGGTTTTTTCCCACTCATTGGTTACTCCCCACACGGCTGTCTCTCCTTCTCTGGGCTGGGCCAGACCGGAAGCAGGACCCCAGAACTCCGTTTGCATCTCCCATGTTGGTGGCAGGAGCTCAGACATCGTGAGTCATCTTCTGTGCTTTGCCAGATGCACTGGCAGGATCAGAAACAGCAGCCGGGGCTTGGCTTGATTGCTCTCAGATAAGGGATCTGAGTCTCAAGTGACAGTTGACCCATTGCCCCGTAAGTGGCATCCTTTAAGCTCAATGTTTTGCATGTGACGTATCAGAGGAAACCCTGCCACTGTGAGCGTAAAAAGTTGCGCGGTGTTTCTAGGTGCCACCTGACTCATCTTTAAAGGGGCAAGGCTGTTGTGTATCAGGTGAAGCCACCACCTGTGGTGCTAGAATGCCATATAGATGCCCAGTTTGAGTCCTGGATGCTCCACTTCCAACCCAGCTCCCTGCCAACGTGCCTGGGGAAGCAGTAGAGGATGTGTTTGGGTCTCGGCACTCCCATGGGAGACCCCCAAGGAAGCTTCTGGTTATTGGTGTCAGTCTGGCCCAGTGACTATTTGGGATGGAATATCTGCAGCGGCCAGGAGCTAGGGAAAGAACACGAACTCTGGAGTTCTGAGTCTTGTCTTTTACCCATTTGGCTTTTGAAAGCACAATTCATCTTTCTGGGCTTCAACCTCCTTCTCAGGAAATGCACATAGCACCCATCTCACATTGCTAGGAGAACCAAGTAAAATAAGTAATGTAGGTTGGGTCCAGCACAAAGCCGGACCCTTAGAACATTCCAAAATTGGAGACCCTGTGGTGTGGCCTAGCAGCTAAAGTCCTTGCCTTCAGTGCACTGGGATCCCTTATGGGCGCCAGGTTCTAATCCCAGCGGCCCCACTTCCCATCCAGTTCCCTGCTTGTGGCCTGGCAAAGTAGTCAAGGACGGCCCAAAGCCTTGGGACCCTGCACCTGCATGGGAGACCCAGAAGAGGCTCTGGGCTCCTGGCTTCAGATCAGCACAGCACCGGCTGTTGCAGTCACTTAGGGAGTGAATCATCTGACGGATGATCTTCCTCTCTGCCTCTCCTCCTCTCTGCATATCTGACTTTGCAATAAAAATAAATAAATCGCGGTGGCGCAAGTGGTTAAGGTCCTCGCCTAGCACGCCCGGGATCCCATATGGGCGCCGGTTCTATCCTGGCAGCCCTGCTTTCCTTCCAGCTCCCTGCCTGTGGCCTGGGAAAGCAGTCGAGGTCGGCCCAAAGCTTTGGGACCCTGCATCCGCGTGTGGGAGACCCGGAAGAGGCTCCTGGCTTCGGATCGGCATAGCATCGGCCATTGCGCTCACTTGGGGAGTGAATCATCGGATGGAAGATCTTCCTCTCTGTATATCCGCCTTTCCAATAAAAAATAATAAAAATAAATCTTAAAAAATAAATAAATAAAT